TGTATTTTCGACCAATTATTTCTCACTGGGTATATATGCATGATTAACTTTTAATTTTAGACTAATTTTGGGTTTTGGACATTGGTAACTTGGAAACAAGTATTTCTTGATGTCAAAACAATTTGATCGAAATGGCCTGATTTTCGATGTCAATTTCGATTCGATGAGTTTTCGATGACATCGACATCGAAACGACGTCGATTCGACATCAGCCTTCTCACTGGGGTAGCGACACATTACAAGGCGATACTATAATTTAGTTATTACACAGATCGGAACATACACGCGTGTGGTTACTACAGTATGTATATTATAAAAAGATTATAATATATACATACTCTAATTCATATATACATACATATAAATACGTATTAAGTGTATGATATATAATGTATATACATATATAATATTTAATGATGCGCGATAATTCATATAAATATTAATCCTGCAATTAATAAAACTCACAGGAGGTCAGTTTAGAAATTACATATTATATATATTAGTGCTCGGAAAACTCGGGTACCCGGGTACCCGCTTGCCCGCCCGCCATTCGTTGCACACGGATGAGAACCGATTCCTCGGGTACCCGTATCACACGAACGGGTATTCGTATCATACAAACACTCACTTTATATTAATACCCGTATTACACGAGTATTCACATCAGACGGAAAATGAATCGCATTAAATAATTTAACCTATCCAAATAAAAACATTCAATAAAAATTATTCAAAATTTATAAAATTTTTAAAATAACCTTTACTCTATTTCATCAAAACTTAAATTAAAATTTATCAAGTAAAATAAAATTAATAGAAATTAAATTATTCTGCAAAAAATAGAAATACAAAAAGGAAAATTACTAAGAAACCATTTGTTATCAAAAGATTTATACAGGGTGTTCCATTTTAATCGATCACCTCAAATATCTCTTGGACAGTGCATTTTAGGAAAAAATGTTTCAGACAAAAATTTTGAAACTTCGAGGGGGACATAAGATGATAACATTGGTTTGACCCTGAGTGGCGTCGTCAAGGTCAGGACAAGGCCACTTGAATTTTTTAAATAGAACCCCCCATTTTTCATTAAATATTCTTGTAGCACACTTCGAGAGCTTTCCAAAACATATATAGATAAAATATTTTCTTATGAAATAAATCTTGTGTTATGAAGCTTGAAAATTGGAGTACCGTCGGCATTAGCATCAACACATGTCAAGATCAAGGTCATTAACTTTTTAACGGCGGGAATGGTCGATATATCGACCACCTAGGGGATACATAATTTTTTGTTTTTTTAGGGAAAATTTTATGCGTTGAATATGAAAAATATTGTAAAATTCCTGGAAGCATCTCTGACCTTGAAAATCGCTATTTCTTTTATTTAAAAAAAAATTTAACCTTGAAAATCGCTATTTCAAGGTTAAATTTTTTTCCAAGGATGCCACCAGGATTTTTTTCATTATTTTTTCCGTATTCAGCGCATCAAATTACGTAGGAAAATACTCTCAAACCTTCGCGCTAAATTTTTACATTGGATTTTACCTTTGCGGGCGGGACTGGTTGATATTTCGACCAGCAGTCAGGTGGGGGACTCCATATTCATTGAATTTTTTTATAAATTTCACGTCTAATAAGAAGTCGATTTTAACTCATATTTCCCCGCTCTTAAAAGTTTAACATCAAAGTACAAAGAAGAATATCATTTAAGTTTTATCTTTTAAAAAAATTATATTTAATTTGGATACAAGTTTTTTTTCGAGGAGCGCGGTTACACGACACCCTTTTTTTACTTTTTTTTTTAAGTCAATTTTGTAACAATATCACGCATTTTGTAGTGTTATAACATACCTCGGATTAATGCCTGTTTAGGGAGAATGTTTTACTCAAGGAGAATTGTTTCGTCGCATATTATCCCATTATCGTGTTTTTTTTTACTGGGCTTATAACAAAAATTGTGTAACAAAAATATATAGATAAAGGAGGCAATGTAAATGGATCTGGCCCCTTATCTTTTTACTAAAACAGTTATAATTATAGCGTAACATATAAAAATTAATATAAAAATAATTCTTTTGGATAATAATACCTTATCTGTAATACGGATTCGTCTAATAGATGATTTATATTTGTTATGAGTCCAATAAAAAAATCCTAATAATAGGATATGCTATAGGGAAATTCTCCTTGAATAAATTATGAATGCTACTTCGGATTAATACCTGTTCA